TTACCCAGCATTATTCCGTATCTCTGGGATTGAAAGAACAGAGACTAGTTCAAATCCCAGCACCACTACTTACTATTGTGTGATCTGGGCAAGTTAAATTACCTCACTGTATCTCACTTTTTTCATCTGCAAAATGGAGATAAATATTAACTATTTCACAGGGTCACCTTGAGGATTAAATGAGTTAATAATCAGAAAGAGCTTAGAATACTGCCCAGGTCACAACATATTAGGTTTTATTATTGTTGTCATTATTTTATTAAGTCTGAAGAATTAACACAGCCACATACTGAATGTCTCGAGTTCTAAAAAAAATAAAGCTACTACACATACAATCAATTCACATACAAATTAGCATTTCTGAAATAATTATAGGTTACTATCAGTCTTTCTGTGCCTACTAAAATTGCCAAAAAAGAGGTAAGAAGGCAGGAGGAAATTGATTACAGAGGAAACTAAACTAATATTTTAAATAATGTAAAGAATATAGTACAGATCTGTGTTAAAGAACTTTCCTACCTCAGCCAGTAATACCAACTTGCTGAAACTGAAATCCCTGCCTGGTATGGACCTAATTTCTGGCCCACAAACTGAATTCTATTTTATTAAATTCAAGTTATCTTTCAGCCACCTAATAATAACTTTAATCAAAGGAGGAATTCTTAAAAATAAAAAATAAATTGAAATTAGTTTCCCAAGATTAAAAAGATATCTTAAATCACTAGAAATATCCTCTCCCAAGAACTGGGGCTTAGAAAGGAGACCCCAGAGAACCAAGCTAATGCTATTACCAAAGCAAAAAAGTTATTTGGGAGTCAAGCAGACCTGGTTCAAATCCCAGCTCTGTCACTACCCACCGCCCCCTTCTAAGTTTCTGGCATCCTACCTGTAAAACAGAGATGACACCTACCTACCCTAGGGATGGGGGTAAGGATGAAATGAGATAATGCAGGCCCAGGAATCAGCATGACACTTGGCATTTGGTAAGCACCCAATAATTGCAACTGTTATAATTACTATGCTCAGGAGCATGGAGAGGTGAAGAAAAAACGGGGGAGGGGGGGACAGAGCAACTCACATGGGCACCTGGGTGCCAGCGGAAGTGGCGCTGAGTCGCAAGGATGTTGCCAGCATGAACATAGTGACCTAGAAGAGAAGTCCATATGTGTGTGCTACCTTTGGGCCCCCACGATGAGGCAACACAGCGAACTGCGAAGAAACCATGGCAGCCCTCGCTTTCCTGGCCCAAATGCTACATACCAACTTCTAAGCCTGCCCCTGAATAAGACCAACTCCCAGTCTGACACAAGGAGCCCCCTGTCTCCCACCCGGCAGCCTCCTCTGCAGTCGCATGGCCAAGGTTCCCACCTATCTGCTCTTCCTCAGCCCCTCCACCCCGCCTCAGGTCTTATCTGTTTCTTTAATTTGGAACTAAATGTTCTGGTGAGCAAAATGGAGAGTACAGGACAGGGCACTTGTGTGGTTTGCCCGCTCTTCAAAGGAACGCCAGGACAGCAGGGTAGGGTGCTAAGTGGAAAGTGGAAGCCAGGTCACACCCTTACCCTCCATTTTCTTGATGCCAAAGCGTTTGCCTGGTGACTTTCCACCAAGGTTCTTAGAGCTGCCGCCTGTCTTTTTGGATGCGTATCTGACGGCAAGAGCTGTAGCCTGAGGGGGGCTCAGCAGGGCGGTAACTGCAGAGAGAACAGAAATGTTGTTCAAACAGAGCGGCTCCCCATCAGACTCTTTCTCTGCCTCAATGGGTCATTTGCTAAGCTGAGAGGTGGCAGGGGGCAGTGTCAAGGGAGGTGAGGAAGATGTGTGAGCTGAACTTGACTTTGTGGGTTTTCGGGGAGTGTCTGAGGTCCTTGGCCTTCCCCCACGACAGGGGATAAGTCATTCTTGTATTGTCCATGGTGTAAGCACTACATGAGCTGTCTGTGTGTGGCCTAGGGTTCAGGGGAGGGAGTGAAATATTATTGGAAAAAAAATAAACACCATGTGCCCTTGGTCCTGACACGTCCAGTCCTATTGAAGAGTAACAAAACCACAGAAACAGAAGCCAGCAAGAGGACACCACAGAGCTGCCTGTTTCAGCCTCACTCACCATTATGCCCTCAAGGCTCAATGCACTGTGGAGGGGCCAGACCACAGAGCCCAGCAACAGGACACCCAGAGAGAGGCTCCTGCTTTGACCTCACCCCCCACTTTCTTAGCCATCACCCATCCACTGCACATCAGATACTTGTAAACAAAAAGGGCAGCCTCTGTGAGGGTGACTCCCACAGGCTCCTGTCCATTTCAGAAGGCTGGACCCTTTCTTTGTTCGGCAAGTCCATCAAGCACAGGTCCAACCAAGAAGACTGACACCCTGCCCTTGTTAATCTGACCTCTCCATACTCATTCCAAAGTGCTCAATGGTATTTATTTTAAAAAGGAAAGTGAACTAAAATTCATAATGACCAGGATGGAAGCCCTGTGCTATATGACAAGCCCAGGAATGGCAGTCCCAGCATTCAGGTCTCCAGATACAGCTATGGTTAATCAGGGTCACGCCAGAGTCTTTAGAGAAGGCTTGTGGGTACTGGAGTCTATAAGTTCAGGGTTCCTAAAACCTAGGTTTCTGAAGTTTTAATGAGAACAGAGACTACCTGGGGCAAAGGACCTGAGATGAGGACTTACAGAGACAACATGTTAAATGGCCAGCACCAGGATCTACCTACCTTTAAACACCTATTCATTTATTCACTCAATTTCAGGAACTGGTCTTTGCTTTACCTAACTTACCTCACTCACGAATCTTTGCCCTCCTCCTCAAAGTAAATGATGCTACCACTGACACAGCTGCTCAGGCAGAAATCAAAGAGTCACTGCAGATTCCTTCCCTTTGCTGATCTCACATATCCAGTTCACCAGCAAGCTCTGTGGATCCTATTTCCAAAACGGATTTCAAATCCACCCATTTCCCTCCAGGTTCACTGACACTAACACCCCGACTAAATCATCTCTCCTCAGGGCTACTGTTAACTGCTTCCCGTCTGGTTTCCTCATTTCCACTCCTACTCCCTTTAAATTCACATAAGAGCAATAGTTTGCTTCTCAAAATGGAAAATTGGGTCGAGTCATTCTCTTGCCCCTCACTCTCTTACAAAGCCAGGCCTCCTGTCATCCTTTAGGTCTTAACTTACATGTTACTGCCTCAGAGGGCTTCCCTGACCACCCAACCTAAAAAGAAGACACCAACACATTTTCCCCTTTCTGTCACAGTAGTTGCAACAATTCACAACTATTTTATTTACGTGCTTATGTACTGGCTTATCTATTAGAAGTAACCGTCCTGGGGGTAGAGACTATGTCTTCATCTTCTCTGCTGAGATCCTCAACACCTACCACAGTATATGGCACAAAGACCTCAATCTGCTGAATGAAAAGATTAACTTTTTGAGCGCCTATGTGCCAAAAGCAGTAACCCATTTTTGTAGATAATGGGATCCAAACAAACCTAGACAGGGGAAGCGGAGAACTGTCACCCACCCCTAGGGAAGCTGTATTTGCACGCCTGGCAGGGAAAGGTCACGTGCTCCGCGCCCTAGCTGTCACACGACCAGTGACTACCGCCCCTCAAACCTCGTGGGCCCCGCACACTCCCCCCAGTCCCCTCCCGCCCCCAGGGTCATCCGTGGGGAACGACCTCCAGGCCCCCAGATCCCTGCAAGGTCTCCACTCCGCCTCCACCCCTCGCCCGGTGACTGCCACGGCGGCCGTTTACCAGCTGTCCGCGTCCTCTGCGACAGCACAGCTAACGCCATGTTGGCCTTACACTCGCTTCCGGTCTGAGAAATCTGCTTCCGCTACCGGAGATCTATTTCCGGGTCCTGCGTGGCGGATGAAAGAGTGACGCGAGAAGTTGCTGGTGAGCGCTGCCGGGCGGGCGGACGGGTTAGGGCCTATTTCCTGAGCTCAGCTCCGCAGAGGCTCGGTGGCCGGGGCGTCCAGCGCTTCTGCCGCGGTGCGTGGGCGAGCCGCCCGCCCTGCTGTCGGCGGGAGAGGCTTGGAGCCCGCTCAGCAGGGGCCAGCTTGTCCGACCCCCGCGTTTTGCCAGAATCTACCGAGGCCCGACAGGGCTGAGGTCTCTCCCTAGTCGTTCAGCTTACCTTACTGAGCGCTTCCTGCGTGCCAGATACTGTACTAAGCTCTGTAGATGCATGCTTTTTATTTTTTTTAAACTTCTTACAATCTTGTAAAGTAGGTAATGTTATTATCCCTATTTTACTAAAAAAGAAAGCGAGGCCCAGAGAGGTTGCCTGGCTCATCTCGGGTCACACCTACAGTGTTAAGTGAATATTTGTTCAAAGAATGACTCTTGTGCACGACCCAGCAACTGGCAGTCCTAGGTCTGTCTGCAAGAGAATTGAAAACATCCCCACAAAAACTAGGACATGAATGTTCATGGCAGCATTATTCATTCAAAATGGCCAAAAATGGGATCAAACAATGTCCACCAAGTGATGAATGGACAAACAAAATGTGGCATATCTATACAGTGAGGTGTTATTCAATCATAAAAAGCAATGAAATACTGATACATGCTACAACATAAATGAACCTTGAAAATATTATGCTAAGAAGCCAGTCACAAAAGTTCACATACTCAGCTAAAATAGAGTGACTCTTGGTATCTCCATTTTACATGCAGAGATCAGCAAAGAGGTTGTGTCGAGTCTTGTTCGTACCTCATTAACATTTTTTAATAGTAACCTCCACTTTGTTTATACCTCACCTTGACCTAGAAAGGATTTGAGAAGGTTTCCTGTTAGACTACAGACATAGCTATTCTGAGTTCCAGATTGACCGTGTTGGGACCATATCCTCTTTCTCTGTGTATCATTTATTTCCTTAAAGCTTGGCCATAGAACACATCAAGTGGACTGAATTCAGTGCTACAGTCTGTGTCTCATCTCTCTTTTCTTTTTAGGGAATTAATCTGATAGCACATATTGATGGCTGTAGAGAAGTCATCACTCTCACTGGATTCCAGTGAGAGTGAGTCTGAGGAGTTGCCAATATTTGCCTTTCTGAAGAAGGAACCGTCTTCAACAAAGAGGAGGCAGCCTCAGAAGGAGAAGATTGTAGTGGTTGACACCTCAGATTCTGAGGCCTCCTGTCCTCCATCACCAAAATTGAGAGATCCACCACCTGTTCCAGAGACAGCTGAAACTGTCACACAAACAGAGCCAGTCAGGGTGCTAAGCAGTGGAAGTGAGGATGAGGAAGAATTTGCTCCCTTGGCTGAGAGACTTACTTGTAAGTTTTTGACCCACAAGCAGCTGAGCCCTGAGGACTCCAGCTCCCCAGTTAAAAGGGTTTTAGATCATCAAAATAATGAAGGAGCATCACGTGACTGGCAAAACCAGCCCTTTACAAAGATCCGTGATATTCCTCTCTGTGACACCTCAGAGAGGTGTGCGTCGAATAACAAGGACCCTATGGTAGACAGTCTATGCCATCAGCTGCCAGCCTACCAAACTACCTGCTCTGTGCAGAGCAACAGCGTGACAGTTACTAAAACAAATGCTGAGGTACCCCCACCTCAGAAGAGAACCAAGCATAATAAGAAGGTCCAGAGGAGAGGCTCACAGGGATGCCAGCAGCGGCGACAAGCAGGCCAAAAGGAAAGCACCGAGAGGCAACAGGAAAGGAAGAAGGCAGCCCTGGTTAACAGGCTGAAAGCTCAGAGGCCAGAGGAATGCTTAAAGCATATCGTTGTGCTGCTGGATCCAGGTCCTGCAGGCATCTTTCTTTACCTCATGCTGGGTGAACTGCTTTCTGGGCCCCACTGACAGCCCCTTTCCCATCTGTTGCAGTGCTCTTACAGATGGAAGGTGGGGGCCAGCTCCTCGGAGCACTACAGTCCATGGAGTGCTGCTGTGTGATTGAGGCGCCGGCCGTGCCTTGCAGCATCACGTGGAGGAGAAGGGCTGGGTCCACTGAGGTAAAGGGTTTTCTGGCTGCTGTCTCTCCTCCACAGAGTTACAGGATAAATATGCTTTTACTCTAAAGGATATATTATCAGTCAGGGCTCCAGCAGGAAAGCAGATAGCACACTCAGCTGAGTATAATTTGAGGAGGATTTAATAAAGGGGCTGTTTTCCAAGTTGTGGGCAGGGTGCAAGGAAGCTACAAGGGACAGCGCAGTACCTCAGGACAATAACAGCTTTAACTTGGTTTCTCCACCTCGGGTACGGCTGCCATTTTGCATTGGTTAATTCCCTGTTCTGCTGGGCTGTCCTGTGCCTTGTAGGATGTTTAGCATCTACCTGGTAGCTGCCAACAGTACCTGTCGCAGTTGTGACAGTTGAAAATGTCTCCAGATACTGCCAAACGCCCCTTGGAGGGTTGGGGGGGAATCGCCCGTTTCTGTCGCAGTCATCCTATAAGGAAGAAATTCTTATCCCCACATCACAGGTGGGGAAACTGAGGCCCTGAGAAGTTGAAAGCCTTGTTAAGGATCACAGCTGAGTAGTGGCTGGGGGGTGGGAGGGAGTAGAACCCAGAGCTCCTCCCACCTGTGCTTTGCAATATTATGGGTCTTGGCTTTTGCTTATAGGGACCTAATCAGAAAGCTCCGCACAAGCCCTGCTCACGGCTACTCTGTAATACTGTACTGCTGTAGGATTGTGGACCGTGACGCGGCCTTGGCTTTGTTTGATTATGCCCTAGTATGGCGAAGAAGAGGTGCCCTCACAGACTGAAGTTTCCTTGGTGATTCTTATCTTTGTCACACAAAACCTATGTGTAAGGGCCACTCAGCTTAGCATCTACCCTCAAAGCCCGAGTTACTTATTTGTTCCAAACCCTTTGGAAGAGTTTCCTTCACTCCATTCCCCTATTCAGAATGCATAGAAATATTGGCAGTTACTTCTCAGTCTGTTTCAACTCACTAATGCTCCTTTCTTACTCTCTGCCTCAGAGGTGCAGTGCACTGAGGCTGAACAGTTGAGGACTGGGAAGGACAGGATTATGGGTTACTGTTTCTTGCCACCATGACTTCATTCCAGAAGAAAAATGATAATGCAAAGTGGACTAGGCTGGGCTTCCCTGGTGGCGCAGTGGTTGGGAGTCCGCCTGCCGATGCAGGGGACCACGGGTTCGTGCCCCGGTCCGGGAAGATCCCATATGCCGTGGAGCGGCTGGGCCCGTGAGCCATGGCCGCTGAGCCTGCGCGTCCGGAGCCTGTGCTCCGCAACGGGAGAGGCCACAGCAGTGAGAGGCCCCCGTACCCCAAAAAAAAAAAAAAAAAAAAAAAAAGGTGGACTAGGCTGATGGGGATGAAGTCATTCACCCAGAAGGCCTGGGTCTCTCTCGCAGGTGCTAAGCACCTGCTGACCTGCCTCCCTCTGCCGGGTTCCGTGCCCTTTGACAGGATGGAGAGGAGGACTGGGTGGAGGAGCCGATGGTTCTGGTGCTGCTCCTGGCAGAGGCATTTGTGTCCATGATCTACAACTTCAAGCAGGTGGGCACAGCCAGAGGGGTAGGCGCTGAGGCTGGGGCGGAGGGCTGACTGCAGGGAGCAGGCATGCGTGCATTTCTGCCCCTTCACGCAGGGGAGTCTGGGCAGCACCAAGGAAGGGAAGGCAACGCTTCGGAGCTTTGTAACTGACGTCGCAGCGAGGACCGCTGGGAAAGCTCTGTCACTGGTGATTATGGATCTGGAGAAATGCTTCAGGTTTGATTTGTCCTCAAGGCTTAGCACCAAAAGGGGCAGCTCTAGGCCAGCGGCGGTGAAGTTACTCATCCCAGGTCTGGGTCCCTCTGCAGAACAGCATATCCCTCCTAGCCCTGTGGGACTCTCTGGTTCAGTCTTCTCACACCTCTTCTGCCCGAGCTCGGCCTGGAGCTGCCACTCTTTGATTTCCTTCCCTGCTCCAGTGCTCCGGATCCTCCAAGGAGAAGGAAACAGGGCGTGGCAAATGGAGAACAGGCCAAGGAGAAGGAGAAGCAGAGACAACCGGAGGCCAACACAGCGGCTGTGGTGACCAGGGCAGACGTGGAAGAGGTGAGAACTTCTGTTGCCTGAGTCTTCGTGGCTGCCCACTCTCATGTAACCCGATTCACCACGATAAAGAGTAAAATGCCTGCTGGACACTACTTTCTACCTCGGCACTAAGTAGGAGAGAAGGGGCCAAACGGGGAGCCAAGGGGCTGGGGTGCAGCTTCAGTGAACAGTGAGAGGAGAACAGTTTCAAACTAACCTCTGCATACCCTTCCAGTCCATCTGCTTTGGGGTTTCTAGGCATTGGTAGATCTGCAGCTACACACAGAAGCCCAGGCTCGAATTGTGCAGAGCTGGAAAGAGCTGGCCGACTTGGCGTGCACATTCACAAAGGCTGTGGCTGAGGCGCCCTTCAAGTGAGTGCCCCTGTCAAGTCCTGGCTCGGTTGCTTGGGCTTGTCTTTTACAGTGATTCTGGTACCCAAAGATGATGTCCCTTTCCCCTAAACTCTGCTGCTATCCTGTTGTCGCTCAAGTTTGAGGCAGAAGGAGTTGACCTAACCCTGGGAATTCTTGGAAAGAGCCCCCAAGCTCAGTCCCTTTAAAATGTTCTTCTGTAGCTTATGTGTAAGTTTGTGTTCTGCAGGTTGGTACTGGGTTATCAGTGGGCCAACTTACCAGAATTCATTGCAGGTCAGGTCACAATGAAACAAGCCCTTGTAAAACAATTTTTTAGCCTACTTAGCTCAAGGGCTGTTCATAGTCAGAATTTAAAATCAGTGATTCCTCAGAGACAATCCAGTCCAAGTCCCTCATTTTATACCTGAGGGAACTGAGGCCTAAAGGGACCGACTTGTCAAAGTTCCTAGCGAATCAGAAGAACCAGAACTAGACTCCAAATTGCCTGATACCCAGTGCTCTGTGCTAACCCCCATGCACACTTCCTCCCCAATCAAGACACCCCAATCTCAATGCAAGCAAGAGTCTCGTACTTTTCTGGTAACTTCTTTTTTGATGAAAAGGAACAGATGTCGTTTTTATGGGAATCGGCAACTAGCACTGCTAGGGGACAGAAGGAGCATTCAAATTGGCCAGGTAGAACATCATTCCCACCACTTCCGATGTCAGTGGAGGGTTTTTAAGTTCCTAGTTAAGGGGACAGGTGCAGCACAGTAACACGACTTGCAGCTCAACTGTACTGTTTGCAGGAAGCTCCGAGATCAAGCAAGTTTCTCCTTCTGCCTGGAGAGTGACTGGGCTGGAGGGGCAAAGGTGGACCGCTCTGGCAGGGGGCTTGCAGTGGTCTGGAGGAGACAGATTCAGCAGCTGAACCGAGTCAGCCTGGAAATGGCCAGTGCCGTTGTGGACGCCTACCCCTCCCCACAGCTCCTGATCCAGGTATGCCGTTCCAGGGGTCACTGCCCAGTGCACTGTGGCCTTAGTGGACTCCCAGTTTCCATGGACAGCACTGG